CGGCGGAATCAGACTGCTGCTGCTGCTGCCATCGGAACGTCGCGATGATGATGATGACGACGATGACGACGATGATGTTCCACCCACGTGACTTTCAGCGAAAGACCTACGAGAGTGACAATTCGAAGATTTTGACCGCGGCGAAGGAGGGCCCCCGTGGGATGGAGCTCAACTCACCGGCGTCAGCAGCTGCACGAGGAGCGTTGGGATGGACAGAAGCGACGGACTTCATTCATGCCACCAGGTGGAGGTCGCAAATGACAGCTCAGAGAAACTTGAGACCCACAGAGACCCACAGAGACCCAGAGAGACAAATAGAGACCTACAGAGACCCACAGAGAGCTACAGAGACCCACAGAGACCCACAGAGACCTACAGAGACCCACAGAGAGCTACAGAGACCCACAGAGACCCACAGAGACCCACAGAGACCCATAGAGACCCACAGAGACCCACAGAGACCCATAGAGACCCACAGAGACCCAGAGAGACCCACAAGGACCCACAGAGACTCACAGAGACCTACAGAGACACACAGAGACTCACAGAGACCTACAGAGACAGACAGAGACACACAGAGACCTACAGAGACCCACAGAGACCCACAGAGACTCACAGAGACTCAGAGAGACCCACAGAGCCCTACACAGACCTAGAGAGACACATACTCATAGAGACCCATAGAGATCCATAGAGACCCACAGAGACCCACACAGACCTATAGAGACTTAAAGAGACCCACAGAGACCTACAGAGACCCACAGAGACCTACAGAGACCCATACTCATAGAGACACACACAGACCCATACTCATAGAGACCCATAGAGATCCATAGAGACCCACAGAGACCCACAGAGAACTACAGAGACCCACAGAGACCCCGAGAGACCCATATAGACCTACAGAGACCCACAGAGACCTACAGAGACCTATTGAGACCTACAGAAACCCACAGAGACCCACAGAGACCCATAGAGACCAACAGAGACCTACAGAGACTTACAGAGACGCACAGAGACACACAAAGATCTACAGAGACTCACAGAGACCTACAGAGACCCACAGAGACCCACAGAGACTAACACAGATCTACAGAGACCCATAGAGACCTACAGAGACCCACAGAGACCCACAGAGACCCACAGAGACCCACAGAGAGACCCACAGAGACCTACAGAGACCCACAGAGACCTACAGAGACCTACAGAGACCCATAGAGACCTACAGATACCCACAGAGACCCACAGAGACCCATAGAGACCCACAGAGACCCATAGAGACCAACAGAGACCTACAGAGACGCACAGAGAACCATAGAGACCTACAGAGATGCACAGAGACTTACAGAGACCCACAGAGACCCACAGAGACCCATAGAGACCAACAGACACCTACAGAGACCCACAGAGACCCCTACAGAGACCCACAGAGACCCACAGAGACCTATAGAGACGCACAGAGATTTACAGAGACCCACAGAGACCCACAGAGACCCACAGAGACCCACAGAGACCCATAGAGACCAACAGAGACCTACAGAGACCCACAGAGACCCATAGAACCTACAGAGACGCACAGAGACTTACAGAGACCCACAGAGACCCACAGAGACCAACAGAGACCTACAGAGACCCACAGAGGGACCTACAGAGACCCACAGAGACCCACAGAGACCTACAAAGACCCATAGAGACCCACAGAGACCCACATAGACCCACATAGACCTACAGAGACTTACAGAGACCCACAGAGACCCACAGAGACTTACAGAGACCCACAGAGACCAATAGAGACCAACAGAGACCTACACAGACCCAGACTCATAGAGACCCACACAGACTCATACTCATAGACACACACAGACCCATACTCATAGAGACACACACAGACCCATACTCATAGAGACACACACAGACCCATGCTCATAGAGACACACACAGACCCATACTCATCGAGACCCACAGAGACCCAGACTCATAGAGACCCACACAGACCCATACTCATAGAGACACACACAGAGACCCATACTCATAGAGACTCACGCAGACCCATATTCATAGAGACACACACAGACCCATACTCATAGAGACCCACAGAGACCCATACTCATAAAGACACACACAGACCCATACTCATAGAGACCCACAGAGACACACAGAGACTCATAGAGAGCCACAGAGACCCACAGAGACACACAGAGACTCACAGAGACACACAGAGACTCATAGAGACCCACAGAGACACACAGAAACCCATACTCATAGAGAAACACACAGGTACCCAGACTCATAGAGACCCACACAGAGATACGCAGAGACACATAGAGACCCACAGAGACACACAGAGACTCCTAGAAACCCACAGAGACACACAGAGACCCACAGAGACCCACAGAGACCCACAGAGACACACAGAGACCCACAGAGACACACAGAGACCCACAGAAACCCACAGAGACACACAGAGACACACAGAGACCCACAGAGACCCACAGAGACACACAGAGACCCACAGAGACACACATAGACTCACAGAGACAGAGACCCACTGAGACACACAGAGACCCACAGAGACACACAGAGACCCACAGAGACACACAGAGACACACAGTGACCCACAGAGACACACAGAGACTCACAGAGACACAGAGACACACAGAGACTCACAGAGACACACAGAGGCCCACAGAGACACACACAGACTCATACTAAAACTAAGCTGTGTTTATGTTACCAGCTGTCAGGCCCTACTCTGTATCTCTTGTTCAGATTGGCGACCTGCCCATCACACGTGACAGCTGATCAACCAAGGTGGCTCATTGTCGTCAGCATCATCATCACGTGGGAATTTGGAGCGGCAGTCCAAATACTCCAAGCGCGTGACAGGGATTCCATACGTGGAGGGGAAAACCGGAGGGCCGGGAGAAAAATCCACGTGGCCACGGGGAGAGAGACACTCAGAGACTCCACATTTACAGCAGCAGCAGCAGCAGGCATCGTGAGGATCGGGATCTAACCCACGACCTCCTGTACACCGGGCGAGGTAGTCAACATCTCATAGCCACCATGATGATGATGATTGCACACCGAGTCTCTCGTCACACAATCATGATGATGATGATGATTGCACACCGAGTCTCTCGTCACACAATCATGATGATGATGATTGCACACCGAGTCTCTCGTCATACAATCATGATGATGACAATCATGATGATGATGATGATTGCACACCGAGTCTCTCGTCACAATCAGAATCTTTATTCATTTCGACTGCAGCAGGAGGAGGGAATCTGAAGTGCCATGAAGCTCTTCGTCACGTGATGTTCAAGTACGGGGCACAAGGTCAGACATTGATAACAACATCAACATCAACAATAAACAATAAACACCAACAACAACAATAAACAACAATAAACAACAACAATAAACAACAATAAACAACAATAAACAACAATAAACAACAACAATAAACACCAACAACAAACAACAACAATAAACACCAACAACAAACAACAACAATAAACACCAACAACAAACAACAATAAACAATAAACAACAACAATAAACAACAATAAACAACAACAATAAACAACAATAAACAACAACAATAAACAACAATAAAAAACAACAATAAACACCAACAACAAACAACAACAATAAACACCAACAACAAACAACAATAAACAATAAACAACAATGAACAACAACAATAAACAACAACAATAAACAACAATAAACACCAACAACAACAATAAACAACAATAAACAACAACAATAAACAACAATAAACAACAATAAACAACAATAAACAACAACAATAAACACCAACAACAATAAACACCAACAACAAACAACAATAAACAATAAACAACAATAAACAACAACAACAATAAACAACAATAAACAACAACAATAAACAACAATAAAGAACAATAAACAATAAACAACAATAAACAACAATGAACAACAACAACAATAAACAACAACAATGAACAACAATAAACAACAACAATAAACAACAATAAACATCAACAACAACAAACATCAACAAACAACAACAATAAACAACAATAAAGAACCATAAACATCAACAACAACAACAACCAACATCAACAACCAACAACAACAATACACAAAAATAAACAGCAACAACAATAAACAACAATAGACAACAAACAACAACAGGGTGACTCTGAGTGTAGGAGGGTGACTCTGTGAGTGAGTGTAGGAGGGTGACTCTGAGTGTAGGAGGGTGACTCTGTGTGTAGGAGGGTGACTCTGTGTGTGTGTAGGAGGGTGACTCTGTGTGTGTGTAGGAGGGTGACTCTGAGTGTAGGAGGGTGACTCTGAGTGTGTGTAGGAGGGTGACTCTGTGTGTAGGAGGGTGACTCTGTGTGTAGCAGGGTGACTCTTTGAGTGAGTGTAGGAGGGTGACTCTGTGAGTGAGTGTAGGAGGGTGACTCTGAGTGTAGCAGGATGACTCTGAGTGTAGGAGGGTGACTCTGTGTGTAGGAGGGTGACTCTGTGTGTGTGTAGGAGGGTGACTCTGTGTGTAGGAGGGTGACTCTGTGTGTGTGTAGGAGGGTGACTCTGTGTGTAGGAGGGTGACTCTGTGTGTGTGTAGGAGGGTGACTCTGTGTGTAGGAGGGTGACTCTGTGTGTAGGAGGGTGACTCTGAGTGTGTGTAGGAGGGTGACTCTGAGTGAGTGTAGGAGGGTGACTCTGTGTGTAGGAGGGTGACTCTGTGTGTAGGAGGGTGACTCTGAGTGTAGGAGGGTGACTCTGTGTGTGTGTAGGAGGGTGACTCTGAGTGTGTGTAGGAGGGTGACTCTGTGTGTAGGAGGGTGACTCTGAGTGTGTGTAGGAGGGTGACTCTGAGTGTGTGTAGGAGGGTGACTCTGTGCGTGTAGGAGGGTGACTCTGTGTGTGTGTAGGAGGGTGACTCTGTGTGTAGGAGGGTGACTCTCTGTGTGTAGGAGGGTGACTCTGTGTGTGTTTAGGAGGGTGACTCTGTGTGTGTGTAGGAGAGTGACTCTGTGTGTGTGTAGGAGGGTGACTCTCTGTGTGCTAGTGAAGGTTGACTCCGTACGAGTGGTGGAGCAAGTGAAGGACTCTCCGGCCAGGGTCCACCACCAGGTAGCTGAACGTCTGGGGGTGAGGAGTGGCGCCGGGGTAGACGCACCGGCCCTGCTCATCCTGACAACAACAACAATCACAACAACAACAATCACAACAACAATCACAACAACAACAATCACAACAACAATCACAACAACAACAATCACAACAATCACAACAACAATCACAACAAACACAACAACAATCACAACAACAGCAATCACAACAACAATCACAACAACAATCACAACAACAATCACAACAACAATAACAACAACAATAACAATCACAACAACCACAATAACAACAACACCCACAACAACAACAATCCTCACAACAACAACAATCACAACAACAAACACAACAACAAACACAAAAACAACAATCACAACAACAATCACAACAACAATCACAACAACAACAATCACAACAACAATTACAACAACAATAACAATCACAACAACAACCACAACAACAACAATCCTCACAACAACAATCACAACAACAAACACAACAACAAACACAAAAACAACAACAACAACAACCATTTTATGGTCGAAACGTCGTGAGAATTTTTTTATTTATATATATTTTATTATTTTATTGTTTCCCTTCAACGTGACTTTACCGAAAGAACTAAGATTATGAATAACAACAACCATAACAAGCACATCAACCACAACATCAACCACCACAACCACAACAGCAGCCACCACAACATCCACAACAACAAAAACCACCACCACATCAACCACAACAACAACAACCACCACAACAACAACCACCACAACCACCACATCAACCACCACAAGAACCAGAACAACAATGCATGGGGGTGATCACGAGTCGTTGATTGTGGTGGGAATGTGAGGCCTTAATCCAGAAGCAGATGAATCATGGCTGATGTGTTGTAGACGTGGAGGGTGAAGATGGCTGTGGTGTAACAGGCAGTAGGATGTGTGTGTGTAGTCACTCACGAAGGCTGATGTGTTGTAGACGTGGAGGGTGATGATGGCTGTGGTGTAACAGGCAGCAGTATGTGTGTGTGTGTAGTCACTCACGAAGGCTGATGTGTTGTAGACGTGGAGGGTGAAGATGGCTGTGGTGTAACAGGCAACAGAATGTGTGTGTGTAGTCACTCACGAAGGCTGATGTGTTGTAGACGTGGAGGGTGAAGATGGCTGTGGTGTAACAGGCAGCAGAATGTGTGTGTAGTCACTCACGAAGGCTGATGTGTTGTAGACGTGGAGGGTGAAGATGGCTGTGGTGTAACAGGCAGCAGTATGTGTGTGTAGTCACTCACGAAGGCTGATGTGTTGTAGACGTGGAGGGTGATGATGGCTGTGGTGTAACAGGCAGCAGTATGTGTGTGTGTAGTCACTCACGAAGGCTGATGTGTTGTAGACATGGAGGGTGATGATGGCTGTGGTGTAACAGGCAGCAGTATGTGTGTGTGTAGTCACTCAAGAAGGCTGATGTGTTGTAGACGTGGAGGGTGAAGATGGCTGTGGTGTAACAGGCAGCAGGATATGTGTGTGTGTGTAGTCACTCACGAAGGCTGATGTGTTGTGGACGTGGAGGGTGAAGATGGCTGTGGTGTAACAGGCAGCAGTATGTGTGTGTGTGTGTGTAGTCACTCACGAAGGCTGATGTGTTGTAGACGTGGAGGGTGATGATGGCTGTGGTGTAACAGGCAGCAGTATGTGTGTGTGTGTGTAGTCACTCACGAAGGCTGATGTGTTGTAGACGTGGAGGGTGAAGATGGCTGTGGTGTAACAGGCAGCAGTGTGTGTGTGTGTGTAGTCACTCACGAAGGCTGATGTGTTGTAGATGTGGAGGGTGAAGATGGCTGTGGTGTAACAGGCAGCAGTATGTGTGTGTGTGTAGTCACTCACGAAGGCTGATGTGTTGTAGACGTGGTGGGTGAAGATGGCTGTGGTGTAACAGGCAGCAGTATGTGTGTGTGTAGTCACTCACGAAGGCTGATGTGTTGTAGACGTGGAGGGTGAAGATGGCTGTGGTGTAACAGGCAGCAGGATGTGTGTGTGTGTAGTCACTCACGAAGGCTGATGTGTTGTAGACGTGGAGGGTGAAGATGGCTGTGGTGTAACAGGCAACAGAATGTGTGTGTGTAGTCACTCACGAAGGCTGATGTGTTGTAGACGTGGAGGGTGAAGATGGCTGTGGTGTAACAGGCAGCAGAATGTGTGTGTAGTCCCTCACGAAGGCTGATGTGTTGTAGACGTGGAGGGTGAAGATGGCTGTGGTGTAACAGGCAGCAGTATGTGTGTGTAGTCACTCACGAAGGCTGATGTGTTGTAGACGTGGAGGGTGATGATGGCTGTGGTGTAACAGGCAGCAGTATGTGTGTGTGTAGTCACTCACGAAGGCTGATGTGTTGTAGACATGGAGGGTGATGATGGCTGTGGTGTAACAGGCAGCAGTATGTGTGTGTGTAGTCACTCAAGAAGGCTGATGTGTTGTAGACGTGGAGGGTGAAGATGGCTTTGGTGTAACAGGCAGCAGGATATGTGTGTGTGTGTAGTCACTCACGAAGGCTGATGTGTTGTGGACGTGGAGGGTGAAGATGGCTGTGGTGTAACAGGCAGCAGTATGTGTGTGTGTGTGTGTAGTCACTCACGAAGGCTGATGTGTTGTAGACGTGGAGGGTGATGATGGCTGTGGTGTAACAGGCAGCAGTATGTGTGTGTGTGTGTAGTCACTCACGAAGGCTGATGTGTTGTAGACGTGGAGGGTGAAGATGGCTGTGGTGTAACAGGCAGCAGTGTGTGTGTGTGTGTAGTCACTCACGAAGGCTGATGTGTTGTAGATGTGGAGGGTGAAGATGGCTGTGGTGTAACAGGCAGCAGTATGTGTGTGTGTGTAGTCACTCACGAAGGCTGATGTGTTGTAGACGTGGTGGGTGAAGATGGCTGTGGTGTAACAGGCAGCAGTATGTGTGTGTGTAGTCACTCACGAAGGCTGATGTGTTGTAGACGTGGAGGGTGAAGATGGCTGTGGTGTAACAGGCAGCAGTATGTGTGTGTGTGTAGTCACTCACGAAGGCTGATGTGTTGTAGACGTGGAGGGTGAAGATGGCTGTGGTGTAACAGGCAACAGAATGTGTGTGTGTAGTCACTCACGAAGGCTGATGTGTTGTAGACGTGGGGGGTGAAGATGGCTGTGTTGTGTGTGTGTGTAGTCACTCATGAAGGCTGATGTGACGATGAGGGTGATGATGGCTGTGGTGTAACAGGTAGCAGTATGTGTGTGTGTAGTCACTCACGAAGGCTGATGTGTTGTAGACGTGGAGGGTGATGATGGCTGTGGTGTAACAGGCAACAGGATGGGTGTGTGTGTAGTCACTCACGAAGGCTGATGTGTTGTAGACGTGGAGGGTGAAGATGGCTGTGGTGTAACAGGCAGCAGTATGTGTGTGTGTGTAGTCACTCACGAAGGCTGATGTGTTGTAGACGTGGGGGGTGATGATGGCTGTGGTGTAACAGGCAGCAGTATGTGTGTGTGTAGTCACTCACAAAGGCTGATGTGTTGTAGACGTGGAGGGTGATGATGGCTGTGGTGTAACAGGCAGCAGTATGTGTGTGTGTAGTCACTCACGAAGGCTGATGTGTTGTAGACGTGGAGGGTGAAGATGGCTGTGGTGTAACAGGCATCAGGATGTGTGTGTGTGTAGTCACTCACGAATGCTGATGTGTTGTAGACGTGGAGGGTGAAGATGGCTGTGGTGTAACAGGCATCAGGATGTGTGTGTGTGTAGTCACTCACGAAGGCTGATGTGTTGTAGACGTGGAGGGTGATGATGGCTGTGGTGTAACAGGCATCAGGATGTGTCTGTGTGTGTAGTCACTCACGAAGGCTGATGTGTTGTAGACGTGGAGGGTGAAGATGGCTGTGGTGTAACAGGAAGCAGTATGTGTGTGTGTGTAGTCACTCACGTAGGCTGATGTGTTGTAGACGTGGAGGGTGATGATGGCTGTGGTGTAACAGGCATCAGGATGTGTGTGTGTAGTCACTCACGAAGGCTGATGTGTTGTAGACGTGGGGGGTGAAGATGGCTGTGGTGTAACAGGCAGCAGTATGTGTGTGTGTGTAGTCACTCACGAAGGCTGATGTTTTGTAGACGTGGAGAGTGATGATGGCTGTGGTGTAACAAGTAGCAGTATGTGTGTGTGTGTGTAGTCACTCACGAAGGCTGATGTGTTGTAGACGTGGAGGGTGAAGATGGCTGTGGTGTAACAGGCAGCAGTATGTGTGTGTGTAGTCACTCACGAAGGCTGATGTGTTGTAGACGTGGAGGGTGAAGATGGCTGTGGTGTAACAGGCAGCAGAATGTGTGTGTAGTCCCTCACGAAGGCTGATGTGTTGTAGACGTGGAGGGTGAAGATGGCTGTGGTGTAACAGGCAGCAGTATGTGTGTGTAGTCACTCACGAAGGCTGATGTGTTGTAGACGTGGAGGGTGATGATGGCTGTGGTGTAACAGGCAGCAGTATGTGTGTGTGTAGTCACTCACGAAGGCTGATGTGTTGTAGACATGGAGGGTGATGATGGCTGTGGTGTAACAGGCAGCAGTATGTGTGTGTGTAGTCACTCAAGAAGGCTGATGTGTTGTAGACGTGGAGGGTGAAGATGGCTGTGGTGTAACAGGCAGCAGGATATGTGTGTGTGTGTAGTCACTCACGAAGGCTGATGTGTTGTGGACGTGGAGGGTGAAGATGGCTGTGGTGTAACAGGCAGCAGTATGTGTGTGTGTGTGTGTGTAGTCACTCACGAAGGCTGATGTGTTGTCGACGTGGAGGGTGATGATGGCTGTGGTGTAACAGGCAGCAGTATGTGTGTGTGTAGTCACTCAAGAAGGCTGATGTGTTGTAGACGTGGAGGGTGAAGATGGCTGTGGTGTAACAGGCAGCAGGATATGTGTGTGTGTGTAGTCACTCACGAAGGCTGATGTGTTGTGGACGTAGAGGGTGAAGATGGCTGTGGTGTAACAGGCAGCAGTATGTGTGTGTGTGTGTGTAGTCACTCACGAAGGCTGATGTGTTGTCGACGTGGAGGGTGA